TCTGCGCGCTGAATTGCACATGTGAGCCACCATGTATAGTAAGTGCGCTGTAGATGGCCAGTTTCAGTCCTCTGCCCCTGTTATTCAGGAAACCCTCTTTGTTAGTGGATCTGCCCTAGGAAGGACAAGAGCTGTTGCTGGGATGGTACACATGTGGACATTTCACAGTTGATTCTAGAGGGGCCTTGCCATGGTGAGCACAGTAAGCTGGCTCCTGCACAGCCATCACATACAGGAGAAACAGTTGGGAAGAGAGAGGGTTAGATCAGGGCTCAGTACCTGGGGTGGCTGAACCACTGACAGGACAGGTCTGTCAGCAAGCAGCAGCTCAGAGGGGCTGTGTGCTGGCAGGGGAGTCTATATCTGGGGTAGAGCTCGGGACAGCAGGGTGCAGGATCAGTGCACACAAGCTGCAGAGTCTCCAGTAGGAGAGGCTGCCACTGGAATCTTAGAAAGAACTCCTATCACACGTTCCTGGTTTGGGTTCAGAATGTGAACATCTGGGAAGGTCCAGGCAGTGGCCTGTTTTTGAAGGAACTGAGATATGGGAAGATTTATAGTGAGATACGATAAAGCCAAGGATAGCATGAGCCCTGTCACTGTAACCAGTTACCTTCTTCAGGGCTCTGACCTAAAACCTAACACATTCAAGGAGACTGCATGGGTTAGAGGCAGAATATAAAGCCAAGAAACCAGGGTATGAGAGAAAGAAGGCATTAGAACAAGACTAACAGTTCCAAATAGACTTGCTTTGCACAACGTAGGAAACTTGACACAGGAAGGGGCTAGAGATAGCTCCGTGGATAAAGGGCTTTGTACCAACATGAGGACAAGAATGTGGACTCCTCAGTACCCACGTATAACCAGGTCTAGAATCCTAGCTCCCGGGAGGTTCCCTAAGACCAGCTGCTGCCTCAGCTAGACTCACTGAATTGGCAGCTTGGGGCTCAGTGAGAAACCCTGACTTAGTGAAGAGCAGGTGAGGACACGGACCGCTGGACTACACACGCATGTGCATCGCTCCCCACACACGGGGCAAAGGGATGGAGAGGGCAAAAGTCCTTCAAAAGAAAACACTGAAAAACAAGCATTTGAGTCTAGTTGCTCATTCTTGGTGTGCTGGGGCCCAGGAGGAACAGAGCTTGAGCCCACCGCTGTCTTTCAGCTTAATCTGTGGAGACATGTTGACACTGGGTAAGGGGGAGGAGGGCCATTTGATTCCAGAGAGGGATGGTCACACTGGGCTGCATCTCCCGGTGCTGTCCATCCCTCTGCCACCCAGGCGCTCCTCTAGTGACACTGCAGACCTGCCTCGCTTCTATGCAGCTGATGCCCTGTCCAGGCAAATATTGTCCTAGCTGACAGTGAGCGTTCTTGCCAAATGCCAGGGCCGTGGTCACATCTGCTTGCCTCTCTCTGCAGCTTGTCCGAGACTGCTTGGGAACACACTGTATCCAGGGGCAGCTTTCACGAGGCCTAATGCTCTAAAGAGGTTCTCTTTGTAAACGTGTGCAGCAAAGAGACAAGTTCCTGCTGTCTTGCCTTTAGTAGTATTGTGTTTGACGTGGCCTTCCTCAGTGCTCTCAGCCCTGTCCAAGCCATGCTCTCCTACAAGGTGCTTCTCCATAGGGTGTGTTATCATTGTCTTATTTTGGGTGTTTTTGTTGATTACTTTTTTTTCCCCTCCAGATGATAAGATGTTCAGTTTCCAACAGTCACACCATCTGAGAAGCTGGCCTGCGGTAAACAGTGGGGATATGTCAGCCCAGGCTGCTTCACCAGCAAAAGAAAACCAAAAGGCTTCCAGGATCCTAGTTTTCTTGTTTAATAGACTACCTTATGGGAAGCCTCATCTCCAGTCATTGTCACATTCTCAGCAGAGAAATGTAAGCAGGGTTATTCCTTTGTCCTTTTGTATGAGATGACAGGAGACTGCAGCGTAGACTCATCCCTATATGAAAACAACACCTCCTGAGAACTTGAGGTTGCTGACCAAAACCTTGAACCACCCTATCTCCTTCCTTCTCTGCCCAGGCAAATTCTGTAGCTGATTCTACAGTGTGAGAAATGAAGTTTTAAAGGCAGAGTTAACTTGGAAGAGTGTTTTTTAAACATCTAAATGCTTGGGTTATGAACACCTATTTCAAGAACAGTGCTGAGAAGGAGACAGCAGGATTAGTAGTCAGGGTAGCTGCTCAAAGGGTAACGTGATTGGTGCACATGGCTGAGGATCCCTAACACCCACATAAGAAGTCGAGCATGAACTGTCAGGTCTGTAACCCCGGTGCCTGGAAAGGAAGGCAGGTGCCCAGGACTCACTAGCCCCCTGGCATAGCTGAAACAGTGACCTCACTGAGAGAGCCTGCCTCAAAGAATAAAGCAGAGAGTGATAATGAAACCGGACATTGACTTCTAGCCTCCTTGCACACATGCACATCCAAACCCATGCATATACCACACACACTAAAAGAAAAGAAAACCAGTTTCCACTATTTTCTTGCTTTCAGAATGGTCTCTTTCTTTCCTTCTGCACTGTAGCTGAGTTTGTCTGGTATTGGCTCTAGAGAAGGTAAAACTGATTCTGGGCTTTGGCAAAGAGATACCAATTGGATAACATATGTGAAAGCAGACCCGGGAAGGTAGCTCAGTTGTTAAAGTGACTTAATGTCTGAGGATAAGGACCTGAGTGTAATTACCCAGACAGAACAGCAGGGCATGGCAGCACATGATGGTAGTCCCACTGCCATGGAGCCTGAGACAGGTGGGTCCCCAGGGCTCTGACCAGCCAGTCTAGCCGAGTCAGTGAGCTTTTAGGCCAGCAGCGAAAGACTTCACTTCAAAAAAGAAGATGGGCATTTTCATGAGGAACTTCAATCTGAGTAGACTTCTGTCCTCCACATATGGGCACACATACGTGCATACATGAACACACACGTGAAAAGAGGGAAGATACTTTTCATAAAAAAGTAACCATCATGAGAACAGAAAATGGAAGTATTGGAGTTTATGGACTTCATTAATGGGGAAAAAAAAAAAAAAAAAAGCAGCTGCTACTGGGATTTTGAAGGAAAAGCCTGAGAGGCACAATACCATGTGGAAAAGGAAGAGGGCCATTTCTCTCATGAGCTTGAAGCTGCTTTTCACTTGACCACTTGGCCTTCATGACCATTACCTTGCCTTTCTGTGGTCAGGAGCTGTTTCTTGCTTCCACTCTTTACGCTTGAGAGGTATAGCTTGTCCTAGGAGAATTAGAATTCGGTGACTAAAAAGACTCTAGTAGTACATTGAAGAAGAAAAGTCCTACAGAGGGTGTGTGTGTGTGTGTGTGTGTGTGTGTGTGTGTGTGTGTGTGTCTACTAGTATTTAATAGAGATGTCCCTGCCACCACTACTCTTAATTATTTTGTTTATTTTCAACATCCTGTTTAGAGTGAGAACTAAGTGCCCCTTTTTCCTTATATTCTCTTCTGCTCTGCTCTTAGCATTTTCATCACCTGTATAAAAGCATATGCTAAGTTCATAGTGCATACTAGTAAATGCTTGCTGAACTAATTTTGTACAAAAAGAATAGGTCTCTGTGGTTTCCTTACAATGCTTAAATTTTTCTATGGTTTTAAAAAATGAATGTGATCATAACCATTTATTTTTCTTCAGATCATGAGGCAATATTTCCCTCTCCATACAATAAATATGTTATAGTTTTGTGTGACAGTAACCATTCGAGAGCAAAGAAAAATCATTTGTTAACTAACTGAACTAATTTTTTAAATGCACATTTATTCTGTAAAATATGCGCTTAGTACAAAAGGAAAGCTAATAGATACGTATTTCTATAAAGCTACAGTGCAGATTTCATGCTGTTTGTTTCTGCCTACTGTATTATTTAACTCACTCATCGTGGCTACATATATATTTGAAACACTTTGCTCAAGTGTATACAGTTTGCTCAGCAATAGTTTTTCATTATATTTAAAACATAAATATTTTTATATAGGGTATAAATGTCTACCACTGTCTTGTCACTTTTTTCATTTCTGAAATACCTGTCAGTTCTCTATTTGGATTCTTTAAAACCGCATGTGTTACCTCTGTGTAAGAGTGAAAGAGCATGTGCTTTAATAAATAATTTACATTTATTTCTGCTCCTTGCTCTTCAGGCCCTATCCTAACCTCACATCCAGGCTTATGGTCACAGAAATGAGCCCAGAAACCTTCTGTGGCTTGAAAAGTCTCAAGACTTTCTTTCTTTGCATTAGCCCTTTTGATTTCTAATTAAGCCTTTTTTCTTTTTTTTTTTTTTTTCTTTTTTCTTTTTTTTTTTTAAAGAAGACCAAAGCTATGTAACTGGCTAACTGGTTCACTCTGAGTTCTTGTATATTGTGTCTTTACATATCTGTAACCTGGTTCATGCTAGGCTATTTATGAGCAACAGACAGTCATCCATGCATTCAATTGTTCTCCCCTGACTAGTAAATAATTAAACAATTCTAATTGTGTGAGTTATAAGGACAGCATCACCATTTCCTTCCATGTATTTAAAATGTTTTAAAAGAATTCACTGCTGCATAACATCCTAAAAGAAATTGATCATACTTTTCCTGTAATAAATGTCGTCCTGACAGTAAAGCATTAGCAACCCATTGATAACCTAGCAACAATATTGTGATCTCTTTAGATAATTAATCTTCGCTATTTTCCTGTCAGAAGCAACAGTGCTTGATTTTATGTTGAGCCAGAAAGATTGCCAGTTTTGAAAATTAAAAAGCATTCCTTTTATATTATTCATCCCAGTAACAATTTATGATGGTGCATTTAGCTGCTGAACGCTTGTCAACAAACGTAATTATGTTTCGATATAAACAAGATTGGTGGTTTTACTATGCAGCTCCATCTTTGGTGAGAATGTTTTGATTTAGGTTCAGATTATACAAGCTAGATATTTATGTGTCATTTTCTCCTCCTTTGTTAATAGTTTTTATTTCTTCTGATAATTACTTGTAGGCAAACAAGCATGCATTTAGGATCCTTGTGCACAGGAGACATCAAAAGGAGAAGAAAAGCTGCCCCTTTGCCTGGACCCACTACAGCAGGTAAAACAAAACGGGTTGGGGTGGAGCACAAATGCAGAACACATAAATCACCACAGATAAAACATAGAAGATTCATAATTACTCTTTCTGCAAGAGAGGCATGGTTGCATGAAACTATAAGGCAGATCATTTGCCTTTATGTTAGGGTATATAGCCCATTCATTGTATGAACCTTGCAAGTAGCTAACCAGTGAGACATGTGCTGTACACCCACCCAAATGGGTGGGCTGCGCAAAGATACAGAAACCTCCAAAGTTGTGTCTTTGGCTGGCTTGACAAAATTTTCAGACTTGTAGGGCAAACAGGGCATAAGCAGATGAGATGATAAATAGCTCACTACCTAAGACTATGTGATTACTAGGTCTGAGCAGTATGTGTTGGACAGACACTATGACTGCTAAAGCCCACTTTTCCCATGGGAGTGCCCTTAGCATCCTGGGATTGTACACATTTTGCAGATAGATGAAGACCTCCTACCTGTTTCTCCTTTTCTGAAACAACATGCATGCTCTTCGAGATAGAAGCTGAGGCTTGCCTGTTGTGCACAGTGTTGGCACAGTTCAGCACTGCATATGTGGGCTCAGCAGCCATATTCTGACTAGAGCTCTCTCACATACAATGTAAATGAACTTACAGGACAATATTTGTCCTTTTTTGCATTAAGAAATCATGCCTGGGTATCCCTGGAAAAGGCCAAAGACAAAGCTAGAGGACCATGTAGATATGCCATGTAGTTATCAAAAGTCATGCCTCAGAAGAAGAAAGAACCACTAGAAAGGATGGAGCAGTATCAAGAGAAAGTAACAAGGAACAGGTCCCATCAAAATGCATCATATGCATTTATAAAGATGGCATACAAAGCCCATTAGTTTATACAATTAACATACACTAAGATAAAATGAATGGAAAAAAGATCTCTCCATTGCATTTACCGACATGAACCCAGTTTTGTGTCTGAAATTGATGGAAGATGCCTCCAGCTATAACTGTGGAGAAATGTAGAATATTCATGAAGTACTTGTAAAATATAGTATCTATATGTAACAAAATACAGCCACATTTTATGTCTAATAGATGTGATAAGTTCTTCCAATCTCTTCTAAGGCTGGGACAGGATTTCTCGATATCCCCATTCCCATTGAGTGGTCCTCTGAACTCTGACCTCAATGGCAGAAGCCACAGAAGGACAAGTTTTAGGAATATTGCTAATGATCCTATGTGGCCACAGTAACAAAGCAGAAGGCTGAGCTAGGCCCTGACACGCAGTGCCTGTGTGGAGCGGGGATGGTGGGTGCTTTAGGAAGGGGTTGCATAGTTCTTAGGCCAGGAGATTTCTTCCTTCAGAGCTCAGGGCATCAGAGGACACCATTATACAGAGTTCAGATACACACCGTAGCTCTAACTCAAAACAGTCTTTTTTCATAGCTTGTGCCAACATCTTCCACATGCTGTACTTCAAATCTGTTTGAGAGCCTTTGAAGATTTGAGATTTTTATTTTACTACTAGATTCAGTTTATGAAATAAAGTTCATAGGCATTTAGCGTTGTGTGTGTGTGTGTGTGTGTGTGTGTGTGTGTGTGTGTGTGTGTGT